TACACACACAGACAGACAGAGACAGAGACAGAGAGAGAGACAGAGAGAGACAGAGAGAGACAGAAAGAGACAGAGAGAGACAGAGACAGAGACAGAGACAGAGACAGAGACAGAGACAGAGACGAGACAGAGACAGATCCAAGGTCGCTCTTGCAGCCAGAGGGTTTCTGCCTCGGCGAGAGGGAGCATTGCAGTGACCGGCACTGATGGACCCGTGAGAGCTTTCTGGTTTGCGAAATGCTTTTATGCCCAGTAGCTCACCTTGACTCCTGCACCCTGTGAACGAGGTGTTATTAACAGCCCCGGTTTACAGGTGGGGTAACAGGCCAGGAGAGCTCGAGTGACTCGCCCAGTGCCATCAAAGCAGAGACTGGCCACCGGGCCTTCCCTCTGAAACCCAGACTTCCTTCTGGCTCACTCTATGGTGGCCGTGGACGTTAAGGAGCGCGTGGGGTCCCCTCTGGAATTCGTGCTCAAATGAAGTCAGAGTGGCGCGAAAGCAATTAACACTTTGCTGAGCTGCTTTTGCTTTAGGTTCAGCCGTGTGTGGTGTGTCATCTAAAAGGTCTTCCGAGGCAGGTGTCATTTGCCCCTACTATTACCCTGAGGCAGCTGGGGCCCCCCAGAGTGGAGAGGCTTTCCCCAAGTTCCATGTTAAGTGGAGGGCACAAGGCGGGCCCAGGTTTCTCTGCCTCCAGCGCCCTGTCCTTCCTCTCCTCATGCCACAGTGCCTCCTGCCGAAGCCAGGTGTGCCAGGGCAGGCCGGCGGCGTGAGGAAGCTGGCACACCTCCTGGACGGCTGGGGTGACACCCAGAGCTGCTGGTCCCTTCGAGGGAGAAGCTCAGACAGCAGGCTTGTCCTTACAGGCCTCCCAGCCACCCCGCGGTCCAGATTCATGGATCTGGGGTGGGAGAGGAGACACCGTGTAAATCCTGTGGTCCAGTTTCATCGCTCACCCACCGAGAAGTCACTCGAGGAGGGTGTGACTGGCCCCACCTCACGGAAGGGGCGGCAGAGCTTGGAGCGGAATTTGGGCCCCCCGATCCCGGGCCTGGGCTCTGAGGTCCTCCTCCTGCCACCTCCCGCTCCCTCCCTTTGCTTCGAGCTCTCCTGCGGGTCACCTGTTGCAGCCTTGATCACAAGCTGCTGTGCAGCCCCCACTGCCCACCCTGGGGTCCGTTTATGTGTGCCTGTCATCTCCAGGAACAGCACGAGGACCTCAGAGGTAGGGGACAGGTATGACTGTCTTTGGAGCTGGGTAGTTGGGGCTCCGAGTTGGTGGGATCTGGGTTTCAACCCTGCCTGTGTGACCAAGGCCAAGCTATATGTTGTCGCTCAAGTTAAGTGACTGTCCCTTCCCTTCACCCCATCTTGTGCTTTCCTGCAACAGTCGTAATGGCTCCTTGTGGTCCAGCACTTAGAATGTGCCAGGCTCTCATCCCACATGGTGGGATGAGATTCCACTCAGAGCTGGCAAGATGCGATGCTTATTGAACATGTACTGTGTGCTGGGCACTGAGGCTCAGGGGTAAGACACATGCCCAAGGTCACGGTCAGTGATAGAGCCAGGAGGGGAATACAGGCATTTTTTTCTCTAGGCCCCACGCGGGGCACCTAAGTCCTGTGCCATGTGACAAGGCTCTGCCAGCTCTTTATCTTGGAGAGACACTCGGACGCCATCTACCTGGGCCAGGGGAGGTGCCAGCAGGCAAGCTGGCCGAGGCAGGGACCCTGATTTTCTGGCTCGTGGCTGGTCCTCTGTGCCCCCAAGGGTCTGTCTCCTAGTGGGTGTTAGTCCACGTTGGACAAGTGAAGACGTGAGGGAATGAATTCTCCGAAATGCATGGACGCCTAACGGACTCTTTAGGATTCTTGAGAGACACACGGGGTTGCCCTGTGCCGGTCCCCGCCACCTGCCAAAGCAAGGCCTTCCCCTGGCCTCAAGCTCCTCACTGTGCGGGGGCCACACCTGGGACCTCCTGCTGGCTGCCGGGAGCTGCCTGCACCTTGCCGTCCTCACCCAGCCTCCTTCTCCTGGCTCCCTCTTCCCGCCCCGGGCTCCCGCCGGTCCAGCCCACAACGGCCCCCCTTTGTCCTCCCATCGCGGTTTCAGCAGGCCGTTCCAGCCCGGTGCCCCAGCTTGCTTCGCACACCCCTTTGAAGCCTTGACGGGCAGCCAGTGGAGCTGGCCGAGAGTGCCGGGGGCTGGGCTGGTGTCGGGGCTGGCGCCAGAGCCCTGGCAGCCCCGTCTTCCTCGCTGGCTCCCTGGACCTGGCCGTCCTGGTCCAGGACATGTATACGGGGACAGAAGCGCCTGGGTGTTTGTCTCAGCAGGCATGGACAGTCATCCGGGACTGCTGGCCGGGCTGTTCCCACACCGAGTCCTTTCTCAGGTTCCCCCGTGGGGAAGCCCTCAGCAGAGCCCACGGCCCCTGCTCCCCGCAGAGAATTGTAGCAGGAAGGGCCTGGCCGGGTCCTGAGCCTCTGAGGAGAGATGGGACAAACCTCGGCTCCAGATGAGTGCGGCACCTCAGTCTGCCATCTCCAGCCGCGAGACCTACCTGCTTCGTGCCTCGGTTTCCCCTTCTGCACGCGGGGAGACAGAACACCTACTGCGCACCGTCCAGTGAGGAGGGACGGGGAGCTGTGGGTGAGCACGGTGTGGGCCACGCTTGGCCAGCAGTTGCTGGCTCTGGTCAGTGCGCAGTGGTCGTCAGGGGGCTGCTGAGCGTCTGAGGGCCGGGAAGAGCAGGGCGCCGTTCGTGGGCCCAGCTCAAACTCCAGGCACGGCCTCGTCCCCCACACTGCTGGCCTGCCTGACACTGTCACTCCTGTCCCAGATCCGCGTGAGACTGAGGGGCTTCCGTTCTTACTTTGTAATTTTAAAAGTAGTACACGGTCACTGCACAATTTAGGATATTCAGATGAGCCAAAGGGAACCCTAAAAGCTCCTCATAATCCCGCCACCCAGGTAAGGATAGCCAGCTGCGCACATGCAGTGTCTGTCCCCTCGCCACATGCATAGGTCTGGGTGCCCTGACCCGCCGTGCGGTGGTGATCGGAGGTGGGGCCTTCGGGGCCTTCGGGGCCTTCGGGGCCTTCGGGGTGATCAGGGTTAGGTGACGTCACGAGGTTGGAGCCTTGTCGTGGAAATAGAGGACTTACAGGAAGAGAGAGAGCACTTTATTTCTCTCCTTGAGAGCAAGGAGGAAAGGCCGTGTGAGGACTCAGGGTCCACCGGCCAGAAAGTTCACCTTCACTGGGAACCCAACTGGCCAGCGCCTGGATCCTGGACTTCCCAGCCTGTAGAACTGTGGGGAATCGGTTCTGCTGCTTAAGCTACTCGGTCTCTGGTATCCTGTCACAGCATCCCAAGCAGGCTGGGACACACATACAGTGGAGTAGCCAGTTTACAAACTATTATGTACTTATAAAATAATTCGTTCACACGTACACACGTATTCTTGCAGATACACGTATTTGCAAAAGTGAAGTATTCGTTACCAGCTTTTGCCGTTTAGCATAAGGTGAACTTTTCCCTGTCAGGACGTTTTTCTACATTTAAAGGCCACATGGTATGTCACAACATAAATGTGCCATACCCATTGCACAGGTGAGGAAGCTGACCCACTGAAAAGCATCGTGAAGTCCTCCAAGATTACCCAGCTGCTGGGGGTGCAGCCGACACCCAGATGCTTCTCCATGAAGGTCTGAGTGGGTCCCCGAGGCAG